TCTCTCTCTCTCTCTCTCTCTCTCTCTCTCTCTCTCTCTCTCTCTCTCTCACTCACTCTCTCTGTTTCTCTCTCCGCGTTCCACGAAGATGCGATCTTGTCCACCCGGACCACGCCTTCGCGACGTACAGAGAGCAGCGTGCGTCGATCTCGTTTCGAGACTCGCGTGTGTCGTTTCTTCTTATTTCAACGGGAGACGAGGAACGCGACCGAAGAGGAGAAAAAGGGCTAATGTATCGGGGCACGGGTACCACCAGGCGCGAGCCGTGCCGTGGCCGCAAGGCACGCGGGACGCCAATCCTGTGGTACCTTTGCATTCCGGTTTTTTCTTATTTCTTTTTTTTTTTTTGGTCAATTTGCGTCTTCGTAATTTTTTGAAATGCGCGCTGGTTCGATAGCGGTGATGATGAATTGCTTGTTGGTGTTTTTGAATTATTCACTAGATCAGTGCTTCCCAACGTAAGGCCCACAGGGGGGAGGGGAGGAGGCAATTTAAAAATTTACTTTCTGTGTTTGTTCAATATATTTCTAGCGATCATTTCTTGAAACTTATCATTTGTGTTTCTTTAGCGAACATTTCCATGTTTAAATATTCAAAATTATGTATATATATTGAGGGGGAGGGGGCATTTTGGAAAAGCTTAGGTGGGGCATAGCACGAAAAAGGTTGGGAGACACTGTTCTAGATCATGTCTCTGCCAAGTTGTACCAGCATTGAATACATCTTAGCATTAACCCTTTCGACCTGGCTGGTTTCTATTTACATTTATTCGTTCAACTTTTAGGTACAAACGAAACTATTGACGGTACAATCAGGTACAAACGAAATACTATCATTTTCTATACAAAAAGATTGATTTTTGAAAAGTCGGGTGCCAGGTTCGCACGGCTCGGCGAGCGCCTTAGCAACGCTCCTGAGCGCGTGGTCCACGCGGCCGTTGGCGGTGGTTGGTTCATTGCGGAGGTCTCGACACTTTTGCAAAGTAAATCTCGTTTCGTCGCGAGCGCATCGTCCTCTTCTATTTAGTGGAAGGACTTCCGTCACCGTTGACGTTCCTCGTCGCGCTTGGATGCGTCGCAAAAAATCGACCGCGCTCGGGTGGAACGTCATAACCGCGCTCGCTACGTGTTTCTTGTCCAGGCCACGATGATTTCTTGTCCCCTCGTCCACCGACACGTCGTGCATGTTTCTTATAGCCGAGTAAATCCTCCGCTGTACCACCAATCCGCGAGCCATTTTTTGCCACGTGGAGAACCGGAGACCGGGGATCGTACGTTATTCGCCCGATAACGTGATATTTTGATTTCAGCGCGGCGACAGGTGTACGCGAGCGGGCGCACGCGGACTTCTTGTTGCTCGCGATTCGCCCTCCTAGCACGGAGGATTTTATGGTTACATCGATAATTTACGATCGGCCCGGAAAAGTAGCGTGAGCGTGAAATAATCTCCTCCATCGCGAGCCAGAAAAGTCTTTATCGGTCGTCTTTTAAACTCTTACGTCGAGATTCTGGTTTGTTCGGATAAAATATCGGGCTTTTTGCTGATTGCGGGCATCCTAAACCGCTTATGATCCGAA